CTATGAGTCGGAAACGACTCGACGGCACTTAACAACAACAACAACAACAACAGCACAGAGTCATTGTACCAGAAAGAAGTGGACGATGTCCAACTATTTCAGGAGGTAGCATATGATCAAGAACCAATGAAATTGAAGGAAAAAGCCCAAATTGCACTGAAGGAACTGGTGAAAAACAAGTCTCCGTGAATTGACAGACTAGCCATTCCACAAATAGATGCAGTGCTGGAGGCATTTACTCGTTTATGCCAAGAAATTTGAAAGATAGCTACCTGGCCAGCCGATTGGAAAAGATCCATATTTGTGCCCATTCCAAAGAAAGGTGATCCCATGTCATGTGGTAATTATTGAACAGTATCATTAATAGCATACACGAGTGAAATCTTGCTGAAGATAAGTCAAAAGTAGTTGCAGCAGTATATTGACAGGGAACTTTCAGAAATGCAAGCTGGATTCTGAAGAGGATGTGTAATGAGGAATATTATTACTGCTGTCAGATAGATTTTGATGAAAGCGAAGAATACCAGAAGGATGTCTACTTGTTTTTTACTGAGTATACAAAGGCACTTGACATAACAATTATGGACAACACTGAAAATGTGAATTCCAGAACACTTAATTGTTCTCATGAGGAACCTATACATAGACCAGGAGGCTGCTGTTTAAACAGAACAAGGGGATACTGCACAGTTCAAAATCAGGAAAGGTATACACCAAAGTTGTATCCTTTTATCACACTTGTTTAATCTGTACACTGAGCAAATAAATCAACAAGCTGGACTGAAATGAAAAATGGCAGTATCAGGATTGGAGGAAGAACCACTAACAATGCAGATGATACAACCCTGCATGCTGAAAGTGAAGATGACTTGAACCACTTACAGAAGAAGATCAAAGACTATAGTCTTCAGTATGGACTACAACTCCACATAAAATGAAAATCCTCACAACTGGACCAATAAGCAACATCATGATAAATGGAGAAAAGATGGAAGTTGTCAGGGATTTTATTTTACTTGGATCCACAGTCAACACTCGTGGAAGCAGCAGTCAAGAAACATATTGCACTGCTGCAAATCTGCTACAAAAAGCTCTTCAAAGTGTTAAGCAGCAAAGATTTGAAGACCATGGTGTGCCTGACCTACACCACAGTATTTTCAATTACCACACATGCATGTGAAAGCTGGACAATGAATAAAGAAGACCGAAGGAGAGATGATGCCTCTGAAATGGGATGCTGGAGGAAAAGACTGGAAATACCACAGACTGCTCCAAGAATGAACACGTCTGTCCCAGAGGAAGTGCAGCTGGAATGATCCCTGAACGTGAGAATGGCCAGACTTCGTCTCACCTACTTTGGTCACGCTGTCAGAAGGGACCACTCCCCGGAGAAGGACGTCATGGTTGGGAAGGCAGAGTGTCAGCAAAGAAGGGGAAGACTCTCACGGAGATGGATTGACAGAGGCTGCGGTGATGTGCTCAAGCCCAGAAAGGATTGACAGAGGCCGCAGTGATGTGCTCAAACTCAGAAAGGATTGTGAGGATAGCACAGAACGGGCAGCGTTTTGTGCATTGTACCTGGGGTTGTTATGAGTCAGAATTGACTTGATGGCACCTAGAAGCAGCAGCAGCAGCAGCACAGTGAAGGGGAACCTGGGGGAACCTGGGGGTTGTGATGTGTATGTGGACTTTGGAAGAGCAAATAGACCACAGCTGTCAAAACTTTCTGAAAACTAAGCTTCCCGGGTTACTATCTAAGACCTGAGGACAGATTTTTTTTTTTTTTTTTTTCCCCTTCTTGGAAGACCTGTCTCAGAAGCAGATACCAGACCCTCATATAAAAATGAGTCTATCATTCCAGAAATGAACATGCCCTGTGGAAGGCTCCAGGAAGGCACAGGGAAAACGTATTGGTCAGCACAGTCACAACCACAGAGCTTCAGTGGTTTCCTAGGATGGGGGTCAAGTCCATACATACAAACACACACTCACCACAAGGGCACCAAAGAAAGTAGAACTCGGCCATGCACTCATCAGAAGACCCAAAATGTTCTCCAACAGCCCCACTCACTCTGGTTGGTGCATTACCTACCAGCTATCCCCGTGACTCAGAAAGACAGAGAGGTCCCCCTGCACATTACTTCATTCCTAAGGTCAACAGATATGGACAGATGTCCATCATGTATAAGGACAATCCTAGGCCCTGAGGAGACAGCAGCAAGCAAAACCAACAAAAATCTTTCCTTCCTGGAAATAACATTCCAGTCAGAGTGGCAGGGGATGTTGTTGTTGTTGTTGTTGTTATGTGCCGTTGAGTCGGCCCTAACTCATAGCGACCCCTCCCTGGGTTGCCAAGGCAGTGTCACTACGGAAGTAGATTGCCCAACCTTCCTTCCAAGGAGTGGCTGGTGGGTTTGAACCACCAGCCTTCTGGTTAGCAGTCAAGTGCCTTAGGCACTATGCTACCAGAGCTCCTTGGCAGGGGATAAACAGATAAATAATAAATATATGTCACAGAACTAGACAGGGCAAAAGGAGTAAAGAGAGGATGGCATTTTAAGTAGGGTGGACAGAAAGGCTTCTCTCTTGACATTGAAACAGAGCAGAGCTTGAATGAAGTAAGGAAGGGGGTCAGTGAGATTTCAAGTGAAAGAGTATTCCAGGCAGAGAGAAAAGCAAGTAAAGGGGTCTGAGGCAGAGGCGTAAAGTAGACAGAACAGTGTTCCCACAGAGACTTCCAAATTCTAATTCCCAAAACTGAGACTGTGTTAAGTTACATGGCAAAGGGAAATTAAGGTGGCAGATGGAATTTAAGTTACTAATCAGCTAATGAAATAAGAAGATTTGGCCTAGCCCTAGTCAAATCTGGTACTCTAAGTCTAAACCTGAGCCATACCCAAATCCTAACCATAGCCCAATCAGTAATGCTAAGGCTAATATAACCCTGGGAGCTCTGGTGGTGCAGTGCCTAAGGCACTTGACTACTAACCAGAAGGTTGGTGGTTCAAACCCACCAGCCACTCCTCGGGAGGAAGTCTGGGCAATCTACTTCGGTAGTGATACTGCCTCAGAAACTCAAAGAGGGGTCGCTATGAGTCAGAGACGACTCGACGGCATCTAACAACAATAACAATATAAACCTATACCTAACTGAAACCCTAAAACTCCTCAAAGCGCTAGACGAACCAATAACTCTAAGCCTAAGCCTGAACCTAATACTAACCTACACCAATCTTAAAACTAACCCCTAAACAATCCCTAAACCTAATCTAAACTCTAAACCTAATCCAAGCCCGAGGCCTAGCCTTGGCCCAACACTTAACATTAACACTAACCCTAATCTCTAACCCAAACCCTCATCTTAACCCTAAACCCAACACTAGACCAAACCCTAGGCCTAACCTTAACACTAAACCTAACCTTATCCCTAACCATAACTTTTTCCCTAAAATTAGATCCAGACCTAGACATAGTTGTAACCCTATGTCTATACTTAATACTAGCACTAAATGTATCCCTAAAACTAACCCTAACCTTAAATCTAACCCAACGTAAACCCAGACTTACACCAAACCCCAGCTCTAATGCTAGCCCCAGCATTAACCTTAACCCTAAATCTACCTCTCAAACTAACCCAAAATCCCAAACTTAACCTCAACTCCAAAGCTAACAGTAGCCCTAACCTATCCTACAATATCTAGTGGGCTCAATGTATTCAAACGGGTCCTTAACAGTGGGAGAGTAAGGCAGGAGAGTAAGAGGAAAAAGTGACCACAGAAGGGTGCGACGTTGCTGGCTTTGAATTAGAGGACTGGGGCCACAAGACAAGGAAACTGACTGCTTCTAGATGCTGGAAAAGTCAAGAAACAGATGTTCCCCACATCCTTCAGAAAAGGCAGCCCAGCTGATGTCTTGATTTCAGCAGAGTGAGATCCATGTTGTACTTCCAACTTAGAGAACTGTAAGATAATTAATTTGTGTTGCTTGAAGGCACCTAATTTGTAGTAATTATTTATAGCACCAATAGGAGATTAATACAACATCTATGGTACAGGTGAGAAATAAGGAGGATGATGGGGCAGGTACACCACCAGCAAGAGGAAAAGGCAAGACAGTATGTTCAGAGAAGAAAGAGGGCCTGGAGACCAGAGCATGTAAGGCTCTATGAACCACTCGAAGAAACATCAAGGTCACCAAGGATTTTGAGTAGAGGAATGACATAATTTGACTTACATTTCCTACCTCAATGGTTGATGGTTCAACCCCACCAGCTGCTCTGTAAGGGAAAGATGTGGCAGTCTGCTTCTGTAAAGATTATAGCCTTGGAAACCCCACTGGGCAGTTCTACTCTGTCCTACTATGGACCCACTATGGGTCCAAATTGATTCGATGGAAATGGGTTTGATTTTGGTGGGAAATGCCATATACCATGTTTAAAGGGTTGGAGCCTTGTGAACATTAAAAAGAATCTTTGTAAAATAAACACATCGGAATACATCTGAACTGGAGAAATATACTGAAAATTTGTGTTCCTGCTATGTACTCACAAAGTAATTAGCAGCAGTGTATTTCCAACATTTTTTGTAAGATAATGCACTTGAAGAAATTCCATATATCACAAGACCTAGACACATATGCATAAATATGTTCACTAAAGCATAGATTGACCAGCTTCTATCGTCTGCTTTCATTAAATCTCCTCCCGCTGGCTCTCACATCACACATGCAATTGGCAAGAGTTTGTGCTGCAATGAGCTCCTGCCTTTCTAATGAATCCTGACATTTTCTACTCAGTTTTATTTAATAAAAAAGTGTTGGTAAGAGAGTTAGTTTCCTAATGTCAAGCGATCATTCTAAGCCTATTCAAAACGTTGAAAATCCAAGGAGTTGATGACACTCCAGAGAGGCTGTGCTCACCTACTGAGACCAGGTTCCTGAAGTTCTCAACCATCACGTCTCGGTACAGCTTCTTCTGGGCAGGGTCCAGCAGCCCCAGCTCCTCCTCAGTGAAGACCACAGCCACGTCCTTGAATGTCACCGATTCCTACAACATCAAGTACACGTACACCCAGTCTTAGGACTACTGTCCACTTGAAAAGGTTAGGAGGATTCGGGGAAGCTGTTCCAGCTGTCGAGGAACATGAGTCAGTAGTATATTTCCCACCCCTTCTCCTTCCTGTCAATGCCATACACTGATTCTCCTGAGCTTCACCCAGAGTGTGGCAATGAACACAATCCTTTGTGTTTTCAGTATGGTTCTCAAGAAAGTAAACCCCTACAACTATGATCATGCATGCTGGAACACAAAAGGTTTACATCTTGATTCATTTTGCCAAATGCCTCAGAAAACATGGTTAATTCATTTTTAACAGAAATTGAAAGCTCCCACTATCCTCCTACCATACACACTGACGCTGGTAGCACTTTTCTTAAATGTTTGCAAAACTAGTAAGGTTGTGGCATCCTGTCTTGGACAAGGATGAAGTAAGTCCTCTCAACTCATACACCACATCCATGAATTCCAACATTCAACACACTGAGTCACAGCTACCATACCCCGGTGCATATTCTAATGATGTGTCCCTTCCTAGATGCATGACCTTGGAGAACTTTCCCTATATATCTTGGTTTCCTTTTTGTATAAAAACTCAATGGTTTGTGCAATACAAGCTTCTTTCAAGGACAAACGAGGAAACACACACATACATACATATATACATACATACATACATATATACATACACACACACACACACACACTCACACACCCATATATATACACAGACACACACAGAAATCACTTGTTAACAGTGTATGACACTTAATAGGACTGTTTGCCTAATCATTTAAGATAAATTTCATTAACTATTACTGTGTTGTTGTCATTGTCATTGTTATGTGCCGTTGAGTCAGACTCGACTCACAGCAATCCCTCCTTGGATTTCCGAGGTGATATCACTACGGAAGCAGATTACCCACCCTTCCTTCTGAGGAGTGGCTGGTGGGTTTGAACCGCCAGCCTTCTGGTTAGCAGTCAAGTGCCTTAGTCACTATGCTACCAGAGCTCCCCCTGGGACCACAGTAGGTAGCATATGCTAACAAGATGATAGGGGCTAGCCACACAAGAAAGACCAACCATGTGGTCTTTCACTCACTCGATACCATACCAACTTCCAGGATGGGGATGGGCTTACATTTTGAGTTCATTTCTGTCCCCCTGAATCAATCAATCATGCCTATGTAATGAAATCCCAACAAACATTCTGGACAACAAACACAGGTGAGCTTCTCTGGTTGACAATATTCTTCGTATTGTTACACATTCGTATGCCACCACTGTGGAATATTGAGGGCAAGGAAGTTTTCCACCTGGGACAATTCCTGACCTGGGCCTATGCCTCTCCACCTTTGGCTGGGTTTTATTTAGAGCTTTTTGCTAGAATAGAACTGCTATTTTAAGCATAGTCTATCTTATTCACAAATGATCGAACTCAACATAGTGAGATCTGCTGAGTATAGAGTTAGCTGGTCAAGTGAGGTGCTGCTGAGCTTCCAGTAGGTGCCTGAAGGAAGAGCAGTCTTGTGGAGGACCGGGCCCCTAACCTGTGTAGTTTGGCTTAACTCCAGGTAGCTGGCATCATACATCACTTACACCACAGAACTGATGGTCTGTATTTATCAGTTCCAGAAAATGGAAAGTATCATTTTATATACATCTTACTTTCTATCTGATCATTTAAGATACATTTCAAATGAAAATCATGATCACATAAAACAAGCACATTTAATAGTGTGATTATATATAATAGTAGATTTTCTTCCTTCTCTCATCTTTCAAGAAAGTATAAGATCCATGACTCTACAGAAGTTGGAAAAGTAGGTTAAAATTTTTTCACATTGTTTTGGTAATCAGATAAGGAAAAATAATTCATTTTTATAGGTCTCATATATTGAATTTTAAATGAAAACCATCATCTTCTGATATATTCATTGTTGTTGTTGGGTGTCGTTGAATTGGCTCCAACTCATAGAGACACTACGTACAACAGAACAAAAACACTGCCTGGTCCAGTGCCATCCTGATGATCCTTGCTATACCGGAGCCCATCGTTGTAGCCATTGTGTCAATCCATCTTGTTGAGGGCCTTCCCCTTTCTGGTTGACCCTCCATTTTACCAAGCATGATATCCTTCTCCAGGGAATGGTCCCTTCTGATAACATGGCCAAAGTATGTGAGACAAAATCTGGGCATTCTCATGTCTCAGGAGCATATTCACTGGCCACCTCTATTTCTCCTTTTTATCTGGTCTATTCTTACCCTCTACCTTGATTCTGATTGAAATTTTCCTTTAAACTATGATCCTGTAATAATTCTGCACTGTAGTAAATTACCTGGTATGGCTTTTCTAGCCATAAGTCTTTGTAAACTCCATGGTGGAATTTGCTGTGAGAAACTGAGTAGCTCCTGATTGTTAAAAGTCATCCACCTGGGGTATTTCTGTTGGGAGCAGCACAAAGTAATGTTGTGGGAACTTTGCTCTCTCTCAGGTGCTTAGAGTTCTGGTGTTATGATTGGTTAGTTTGGCCACTCTGCCAGGCTCAAAAGAAGGCCTCCTAGAAGCAGAAGTCTATCTGACTGCTGGCTGAGAAGGATGTGCTGCTGAAAGAGACACACACTCCTGAGAGACACGCACTGCTGGGAAAGAGACGCAAGAGATATGCATTGCTGAGTGAGACACCGAAGGACATGCACTGCTGGGAGAGAGACTGTGAGAGACTGTTGGCTGAGAGATGGCAGGCTGAGAGAGACTGAGCATTTTCCCTGAACTTGAATTGTAGCCTGGTGCTTCCCTAATAAACCCCATAATCTGTGAGTTCTGTGTGGCCACTGCAGTGAATTATCGAACCCAGAAGAAAGGTGGTGAGTGCTGTGGGAGGAATGGTTGGTGTCAGGGCTGGTGAAAGGGCTGGAAGGAGGTGGCATGTCTGGCCTCACAGGAATGGGCCTTGGGCAACTGAGGGTGATTCTGTTTTCCTCTTGTGGGTTAGAAGAGGTCAGAAGATGAGGCCGCCCTGCCCTTTTAGCAAGTTCTAAATAAAGTTTATATATTTTTCTAGCAAATATATTGCAAATATTTCCACCCCACATTGTTGTTTTTTCTAGTAACACTCTGTAATGTTCTTTTTCCTCCACAGATGAAATAAACAATTTTATACAGAGACCAGACTAATCACTGTGCTTGTCTGGATGAAGCACTGAGCATCTCAGTGCACTGGAGGAGGTGATTTTGGGGAAGAGAAGAGGTGCACACTGAGGAGGAGCCAGGGGAAGAGCGTCTCAAGTGTCACCCGTGGAAGTCACCACCCAGGACAGCACTCCAGGAACTTAAAGTTCTGGACAGCCACCCCTGGAAGGACAGCTCATTCTCTTTTCTCTTGCCTCTCTTTCACTGAACAGAATGCATAACTCCCCTGACCCTGAGTTTCCTGTGGGAACATGCTCTGCTTTCTCACATTCCACATGTTTAAAATGTAGAAGAGGCCAAGCATCACTTCACTGAGCCGCTCTAAAGGTCAAATGCAGTGACTGATAAAAGTGCCTGGCAAATCCACTAGCATTACCCAGGAACGTTTGTAACTAAGGTTATAGATGACTTTAAGATCACATGAAACATGAAGGAAGGTAAGCGATTAGTAAATTAAACACACACAAGGAATGATTCCGGAATGGGGAAGCAGAACTCCCATCTTCCCATCAGTTAGGTATGTGGACTATTCAAATATGGCACAGTCCAGCAGGACTTATCTACCAAACTGCCACTGCAGCACATGGGAAAGTACTTTTGACATGTGCATTGGCTGAAGGAGAATTGTTTCAGAATTGATTTTTAGGCAAACATACTTTATACAGGAACACGCTCATTGTAGTTTTATTTAAAAACAATGAAATTCTTGGCCATCAAACATACAACTACTGGTCTCTACTAAGCCAAAGCAAATGAGAAAGAAGGAAACCAAAGACTAAAAGAAGGAACTGTTGTTGTTGTTTTTAAGTGCTGACGAGTCATTTCCGACTCATAGCGACCCCAGGCACAGCAGAACGAAACACTGCCCGATCCCGTGCCAGCCCCACAATCCTTGCTATACTTGAGCCCATCATCGCAGCCACCATGTCAATCCATCTCGTTGAAGGCCTCCCTCTCTTTCGTCGACCCTCCACCCTACCGAGCATGACATCCTTCTCCAGGGAATGGTCCCTTCTGACAACATGACCAAAATAGGTGAGACGAAGTCTGGCCATTCTTGCTTCCAAGGAACATTCTGGCT